GAAGATTAATAGTTTTGAGAAAAAAAATTTCTATCCTAATTATTATGTTTCTTCGGAATTTTTTTCGACTTGATTTAATATATCATAATTAATAATTAAATAAGGCTAACTTTCTCACATTAATCAAAACATTATAAAGTATGGGTTTTGTACTGTGGCATAGATATAGTTTATTGTATATTGCTACAATAAAATTACTTCTTTGCTTTTGAGTAGGAAAAAAAAAGCCTTAACCGTTTTTGTTTTTTGTACTAGCAGGTCATTTTACACAAAAAATATTATTTTATCCTTGCTATCAACAAAATTTAGAGTTGTTAATGAAGGTTTTTTTTTATTTTTTTATAAATTTTTAAATATTAAAATTATTTCTTTATCTAAGATTAATAAATTGTTGGACTGTTGGACAAGAGTATTTTTTTTCTTCCATTATTGATGTACAATTAAATTATGTTTGTCCTTACAAAAAAAAAATATTTTGTGGGTATTTTCGCACTTTTACATGGGGTTTTTGGGTAATTATTAGGGTTATGAGGATATTTTGATATTTTTCATGTTGATTTTTTTATTTTTTAATAAAAAAAGTCACCTAGACATGTTGAGAATGAGTTAGCAAGTGAGTAGGGCTCAAACCATTCGATAGATGCGTGTGATGTTGTTTTGTTGTCAAACCTGACATTTTATCATCCTTTTTAATGTGTCAAAGTATTCTGTTTTACGTAGTATAGCATGTAATGATGTCTAGTGGTTAAATCGTTACTTGCAATCGTTTTTTTTTTTCTTTTCTTTTCTCTCTCCTGGCAGGTAAAGTCCATAATTGTCTTTTTTTCTTATTTTCAATTTCAATCCTCATTTTTTTTTCCATTCATATTCCTTTTATAGAAGTTTGTTTTGGTTTTTTAATTTATTTCTTCAAATACAATTTTGTATTATTTTTATTTTCATTTTAGTTCTTATTCTTCTTTTTTTTAATTTTTTTCCCTTAACTTTTTTGTTAAAGTTTTTTTGGTTTTCAATTTAATCGTTCAACCAAAATTGTTGTTTTATTTTTTCCTATTTTACATTTATATATTCTTTTGATTTGTTTTTCTTTTTGTTAAAGCTATTTTTCAATTCAAGTTAACTCTCTAATTAAAAATTTTTATTTGCCCTCTTATTAATTTTTTTAGATTCTTTTGTGTGATTGATTCTTTTTCTTGATTTTATCTTTTAATATTTTATTTGCTAAAGATTTGGCTTCATGCAATCTTATCATTCTGCATTAGTTTTTTTAAAATATTATTTTTATGATTTTTTTAATTTTTTTCTATAAATTTATCATGGTCTCATAACTTAGATCACGGGTTTTGCATGCCTTTTTGAATATATTTTTTAATTGTTTTGTTTGTGTTTGATTTTTAATATATATTTTTTTTCTACAAATGAACTTTATTTTTCAAAATACAAAATATTCATTTTTAAATAATATTTATGATGAGTTCGGCCTTGTGTAAATTTTTTTAGGGTGTGAGTTTATTCAGTCAATTTTATTTTTGTTTATCTTTTAGGTCACAAGTTTTTAATAATGTAGATTTGTCTTTTATTAATTTAAATAAATAATTTCAATTAACATAATCGGATGAGTGTGTTATTTTGTGTGATTAAATACTATGATCTCCATTCATCTCTTAAACTTTTATTTTTTTGGTTATTGTTATAATTTTATTTATTAATAAAAAAATTCACCAAGACATGTTGAAAATGAGTCAGCAAGTGAATAGCGTCTGAACCATTCAAGCGATGCGTGCGATGCTATCCTATTGTTAAACTAATATTTTATCATTTTTTTTAATGTATAAACATGTTCTTTTTTACATAGTATGGCATGTGACGATGTTTATTGGTAGGATCGTTACTTGTTTCTTTTTTCCCCTCATTTTCTCTCTTTTGGCAGGTAAAGTCCATGATTGTCTTTTTATTTTATTTTCAATTTTAATCTTCATTTTTTTTTTTCATTCATATTTCTTTTATAAAAGTTTTGTTTTGGTTTTTTAATTTATTCCTTCAAATACAATTTTGTATTTTTTTTATTTTCATTTTGGTTCTTATTCTTTTTATTTTTATTTTTTTCCTTAACCTTTATGTTAAAGTTTTTTTGGTTTTCAATTTAATCGTTCAACCAAAATTGCTGTTGTTTTATTTTTTCCAATTTGACATTTATATATATTTTTTTATTTGTTTTTCCTTTTGATTTTTTTGTGTGATTGATTATTTTTCTTGATTTTATCTTTTAATATTTGATTTGCCAAGGATTTGGCTTCGTGCAATCTTATCATTCTGTATTAGTTTTTTTAAAATATTATTTTTATATATTTTTTAAATTTTTTTCTATGAATTTATCATGGTCTCATAACTTAGACCACGGGTTTTACATGCCTTTTTTAATATATTTTTTTATTTTTTTTTGTTTGTGTTTAATTTTTAATATATTTTTTTTCTATAAATAAACTTTATTTTTCAAAATAAAAATTATTCTTTTTTAAATAATATTTATGATGAGTTCGGCCTTGTGTAAATTTTTTTTAGGGTGTGAGTTTATTCAATCAATTTTATGTTTGTTTATCTTTTAGGTCATAGGTTTTTAATAATGTAAATTTATTTTTTATTGATTTAAATAAACAAATTCAATTAATATAATTGGACGAGTGTGTTATTTTGTGTGATTAAATATTATGATCTACATTTATCTCTTAATTTTTTATTTTTTTGGTTATTTTTATAATTTTATTTATTTATTTATATATATTGATTTATGTAATTAGATGCTTGCATGTATTTTTTAATTTATACTTATATATTTTTTTATATTAAAAAAATATTGAAGTAACTGCATATCCATATATATAAAAAAAAATTACAACTCCTAATAAAACACAAATTAGATACCTAAATTTTGAACATGAATATTAAGTATCTCATTATCATTAAAAAAAAAAATGTACAAAGCAGTAGCTTTCGCTGACTTTCTTGAAATTTTAGAAGTAAAAAACACATCCTTCCTCCCTAAAAAGGTGGCTGTTCCTATTGCCTTGCCGTGGACTCCACATTTAATTAATTTACATGATGTGAAATATGTTTTGAATTCGTTTATAAACTAGATATTTAAAATAAAGCTTGTAAAGAAGTTTGATCATGTCAAACTTATAATTTCACGAAAAATTACAATCATTTAAAATTCACTGTTCAATCGGGTTTAAATTTGATTAAGAGATTCTATAGGCTTAATTCTATAAAGAAATCAAGATCTCAAAAATCTTCAAATTAGGTTTAGAAAATATTATTTTTTTTATTTAAATTATTTTTTATTTAATTTTGGATTTTTTTAAGTCATGTCAGTTTCTATCTCAATGTAAACCTTTTGAATTAGAGTTTTTAAGAAAATATCATAGCTTTCTTTATCTATTTTTCTATCATTTAAAATTGTAACCATAGAGTGTACGTAAGAATTCAAGTTTTTATAGTAGAAAAAATTAAATATTAATTACTAATTAAGTCATTGCGATGGCACCAACTAGCTAGCACTTGATGATCATACGATCGAGAGTGCTTAGCTGATAATTAAGCTCCCATCACCACATGATTAGGATAAGATATATCTGGAGATAGACTACATTTTCTCTTGCACGTATTACATGAAATACCTCTAGCATTATACAAAGGTGATGTAGCTAGCCACATAGGAGTTCGATTGCTTGAAGAAATGAAGCATAAAAAAGTAAACTGATGGCTACATGAATGCTCATCAAAAATCATTTTCAAGGTCATTTGTTTGTTTGTTATACAATTATCATGAATTGTATATATATATATATATATATATATATATATATATATATATGCGCGCAGAAAAATTTATTTAAATGCATGTTGAATATATATAATGCTTTATGCCCTTTTCTTTTATCTCAATTTTTTATAGTTGATTACTAGCTTGTTGCCCGAGCTTTCTTGTAAGGTCAAATTATTTTTTTTTGGGTACAAAATTTAATATTTAGGTATTGAAATAGAGTTAAATAATATTATAAAAAACTATTCATGGTAAATATGTGACAATGCTGATCTTGTGTTGGGTTTTTTTAGAAATTTGAAGTGATTGGGTTTGGTGGTGTCAGGGCATGGTTATGACTAAAACCCATGATTTTCTTAATGATTAGTAGTCTGTGAATGAAACCCATTATTTTCTCGATCAATGGCGCAAATAGATACATATTGCTGACCCTGACTAGTTTGGGATTGAGGCTTTATTGTCGTCGTCGTCTGTTGCAGTTTGTTGAGGACTGATTGTAGAGATATGCAGGGTTATGATGGTGATTGATCATTGCATGATTGGATCGTTGGGGAAATTCAGAACATTTGTATATTTTTTAAGAATCAAAAGTATACAATTAAACACAAATACAGCTCTGGGATGTAAACTACCATAGAGTTGGTCATTAGAACATTTCTCCATCTTCTATATAACTGGACTTCTTGAAGTTCTGTTGAATATGTGTATGTTTTTCTTATGCTTTAAGGTGATTTGGAAGAGATCATGGTTGAACTTGAAGAAAGTAGAAGAAAACTAGTCAATTTGAAAATGCAAAGGGATGCATACTCCAGCTCCAAGTGCAGTAAATGGAAACTTGTCACCTGAAAAGACTACAGATAGGTCGAAGCGTTTTTGGGAATTGAGGGATCCCCTTGACGAGATGAAGGTACTAGTTAAACCACCTGGCCATCCATCTCTTGGACACACTGCACACCGACACTAACTGATCAGATATCCTATTGAGCAAATATTGCAGATTCTGACAGCTGACCGTCTTTCTGAGCTTGAAAATCAGACCTTATCAAAAGAATTGGAAGATCTTGAGGTCTGTTTGTATGATTTGATAGGATAGGTGGTGTGCTTGATTTGTCAAGTAGCTATTATTTTTTTGTGGACCTAACTAGTGATTTTGTTTTTGCACAGGATGAACTCAATGATGACAAACATATACATTCATCTCATCTCTACAGTTTAGTAAAGGATCAGCTCCAGCATTGGAATGATGAAGTGGAAAGATACAAAAAGCTGACAGATTCTTTGCAGGTTATTTACCTTGGTTTTCCTTTTCTTCCTTATTATGTTTTAAAAATGATAATAGCTCAAATCTTAATTTGCTTAATTTAGGTTTTTTTTTTTCCCCGTTTCGTTTTTACACGTGCCTGATCTTGTTTGTCCTTCAAATCTGATGGTGTCATTTTTTGAACTTTGTTGTTTGTAGAAATGTTCTTGAAATAAAAGAATCTGAATGTAGGGTTCATTCCCAAGCTGAAGATCTGAAAGGTTCATTGGATGAACAGAGTCAAGAGTTGAGAGTCAAAGCTGCTATTAAGGCTGAGGCTGCTTGCCATCAAAGGCTTTCTGCTACTGAAGCTGAAATAGCTGAATTAAGAGCTAAACTGGATGCTTCTGAACGGTTGGTTTTGCTATTTCATCATTAATATTTTGATTGACAGGAAGATCTATTTTTTTATTTAGTTATTGTCAAACTCATGTATATTTTGCAAATATTTTCTCAGTTCCTATTCTTTTTTACAATGCTCTGCTAATTAATTACATGCAGAGATGTTTTTGAGCTTAAAGAAGCCATCAAAAGTACAGATAAGGAGGCTGAGGTATATATTTCTGAAATCGAGGCATGTTGCTCATGTCATGTCTGTTTGCCATGAAGCCATGAATTCTTGCAACTTGCAGCAATTCTGGTTCCTTGGTACTTGCTGCCACCATTTCCTCTTCAAATCTCCTTCTCATATTTAATTTCTTACTCATTTAGAGCATTGGCCAAGCATAGAAGATATGCAGACACAAAACGTAGTTATCTTCTGTATTAAGAATTGTTAAAATATTATTTATTACTTATTACTTTGTAAATTAGTCGGGGTGAAAATTGATGACCTTCTAAGCTGGTGGTAGAGAAGTTGTTTCCAGAAGCAACACCGTGTTTTAATCCCCCGAGAGGGACTCAGCTTTTCCTTGTCCCATGCCATTTGCCATGGTTGTCAGTTTTTGGTCCTTTTCGTGGCAATATAAGGGCCAAAGCCCCCTCCCCCGCCCCCCCAGATGCCAACTCTGTTAACTGCTACTAACTGTGCATGCTAACTGCTAGCTTTGGCCAAAATATGTAGTCGAAAAGTTGACTGGTGTTCCTTAATTTGACTGAGGTTTTAAAATGCAGCTGGTATCTGAGAGTGAAGACAAAGGAAGCACAGCTTTCTGCTATCCGAGAAGCAGGCACTGGCAAAGCACCTTCAACAAGTTGATGCATCAGTGGAATCATTAAAATCGAGGATTGCTCACAGTGAAGAGCAGGTAACTTTTGTTTGAAAACATTCTGCAGGACTTGTCTTTTTGGTGATTTCTCTATCAACCAGCTGTTGAATCTTGCAGATGAAATATAATGTGATTGAGGCAGTTAGATCCACTAAAGAAGACAGACATCTTGCAATCAATCTTGAAAGTGCACTGTTGGAATTAATGGATGCTGAGAAGGAGTTGAAGTGGCTTAAATATGCTGTTTCTACTTCTCAGGAGTATGACCTGATCTGAAACTTCTAGTGAAAGGTGAGGCCTTTTTCTTTGTGGCAGTTAGATATGAAACTTCTATGCAATGCAGAGTCAGGTTGTGTTTTATACGTTTGATAGAGGACAGGAGATGAATATATCCAGCATTCCACGAAGTTTTTGCTCTAGATTTCCATTTCTTTTATTTGAACAACTTCACCTTATGCTTATGTTGGTAGTTATACTTCCAATATAAGCTGAGTAGCCAAAGCTCGCATTGCATATGCATTATAGTGTTGGTTAAGCTGAATTTTTATTTTGTTTGGTCTAGTTGATGCTGTATTGGGCCTTTTTGTAATTCTTGTGTTGCTTATACACTTCACAAATTATGTTATAGTTTACAATTGAAGTTTAATGCTCGGTGAAGGTGTGGAAGGTTCTGTTAATTGTGTGAGGAGAATAAATGTGCATTAATCATTTTGGCTTTTTCTGTGCCTTCTTCCTTTTGTATCTTGTAGAAAAACAACTTTCTGCAAACCTAATATTTATCTGGCGAGGGACTTTCTTTAAGCCAGGAGTGAAAGGAAAATGCTCGAGGAAGAGCTCAAGGAGTTGAACAATAGAGTTGCTGAGTTGACTTCTGAAACTGGCGAGGCTGCAATACAGCGACTGCAAGATGAGATAAAAGATTGCAGAAGTATGCTCAAGTGTTGTGTGTGTTCGGAGCGGCCTAAGGAGGTGAGTGAACTTTCTGCTGGTTCGTATCCCCATGATTGCCCCGTCATTGTTCTTGCAGTTCAACTTTAAAAGGTCGATTATTTTAGACTCTTTGCTTTTTATTTGGCAGGTTGTGATTGTGAAATGCTATTATCTATTCTGCAATCCACGAATACAAAGGAATTTAGAGATTCGCCATCGGAGATGCCCTGGATGTGGAACTGCATTTGGTCAGAATGATGTTCGGTTTGTTAAGATATGAACAAGCCTCATATTTTGTAGTCAAAGGTAGGTTTAACTTGTACTAGACTACTAGTTATCATAGAAGCCTGATATCCAGAGTTGATTCCCTGATGTGGGAACTCATGATCTCATGTAACAGGATTGAAGATGATTTTTTTCTTCCCATGTAATCATTTACCAATCATGTATCTGTAAATATAGAACACGAAAACGAAAAGCCCTAGGTGGTATTGTTCCAGAGTTCATCTGTAAATCCCAGATCCCATGCAACCAGCCCTAGGTGGTATTGTTCCATAGTTCATCTGTAAATCCCAGATCCCATGCATCACCCATCTCAATTATTGCTGTTGATGTCATGGTTTTGGAAGGAGTTATAGCTTGTAACTGGCTATAGGACACGTTGGGAAGCATAGAATTTGAGCCAAAGATTGAATCCTTGAGGTATCCACTGGGTTTGGATAGGATCCAACAGGATGAGCTCTCACCAGCAAATTTCAGTATCTGGTCCACACAACTAGTCTAATGGATAGAAATGAGTCACCTGCTCATTCACCTTTAATATCTACATTGGGACCCGCACATTCATCCAAATTAAAATCTAGTATAAGCCTGGATCTTCATTAGCCCGTTGTAACACCTAAAAGTTGTTTTTGTGCTTGGAAATTGGGATCGAGTCAATCAACAAATCTCCCTTCCTAGGGATAAGTAGCATATTTGTATCTCTACTCCCAATCTGGTTATAGTTTGGTCACTATTGATGTTTTTTTCTAATATCATCCCTTAGCTCCTTTTCTCTATGATTATTTGGTCCTTCAGTTTCTCTATCGCCCAAGAACCATGATTAAATAATTGAATTAGATTGAAAGATTATATATATGTGAATCATAATGTCTATATAAAAAAAAATCCATCATAATAATTATATATGAATCTTTATTCTTAAGTGTATAAGAGAGCAATGCAATAAAAGTATTTGATATTTTTTTATTCAACTATCAGGGATATCTTCAAACTAATTAATGCTTGAAATCAAAATTAAATCATTTTTGTAAACAATTTTAAGAACGTGTTTCTCATGAATTTAGTGTATCAAGAAAAAAAAATCCTCATACCAATAGTCTCTCTAAAGAAAATAAAGGCGTGATTATAAGGAAAAAAATGGTTTTCTTTAGCAAATAAAAATATGATCTATCACATTTAATTAACATTTGATTAAAAGATTGTAAATTATACAAAATAAAGATTGATATTAAGTTTAAAAATATAAAAGGACTAAAATGACACAAAGTTAAGAATAGAGGTCCCTAAAGCACCATGACGTCAACCACTCCATCACTATTATTACACAACCATCATCATGTTCATCTTCTTTCTTGCTCAGGCTCCAATTCCATTTCATCAGTGAAACATTGTCCAACAAAAGAATGCTACTCTCACTTGTCCAAACAATTTACACATCACCTTTTCAATCCAAAACACAAACCCGCTTCAACAGTATCATAAAGTCCACAACTTTGTTGCCAAAATCGCTCTTTCCCACCTTTGACTGCCCATCAAAAACCCTCTCAAGACTGTTTTTCAATGGCAATACAAGAGATAGAAAGTTGACAGCTAGTGCTAGCTTTACTGTCCATGCTTCTTTGATTGAGGCTCCAGTTTTATGGATTGGTAGGCTTTGTATCTTTTATGCACTGTTAAAGGCTGGTTTAGCCGGATCAGAGGCTAACCCACTTGTTTCTGGTACTTCTTTTTTCGTTTGGATTTTTAAATCGCTTGTTTCTTTTTTGGATGTATTTTAATGGGTTCTTATGGATTGGGGTCTACATTTGTTTAGGTTTGGATGGTGGTGGTGGTGGTGGTGCTGAATCTGGTGACCTGGGGTTTTCTAAGTGGATTGAGGCCATACAAGGCAAACCAGGTTTGTGGGTTCCTTAGTTGTATATTGTACATTTATGTTTTGTTGGATTTTTCTTCTTCTGCCATTTCTAAATGTTATTAGATTTTAGATTTGCCAATTTAAAAGTTTGGGATTTTATTTCAGTTTCATTCAAGATTTAACTTTCGCTAAAGTTTTTTGAAATCAGGTTGTACATTTATGGCTAAATCTGGAGAGTTTCATGAATTGGATATTGTGAAGTTGATGGATAAGGATTAGGAGGCCTTAGTGGTTTTACATTGGTTCGTGCAATTAGAATGCTCTAGTGTTAATGTGATAGTAATGAGAAATGGCAGTGACTGGAAATCAACAAGGAAATATAATAACGCCAAGAGGTTGGCCTGGTGGTTAAGGAAGTATGATCCATTCCTTGACTTCCTGGTTTACATTAGGGCAAGCGCTCAGCTCAGTGCTCCAAGGTCAATGTTGAGCATTTATCTAAAGTCTGGAAGCAACTTCTGGTCATTCTGATTGCTGGGATCTGTTTCAATAAGAGAGTCTTCATGCTAGTTATCTAATGTGGACAAGAACACATTTCATCTCCGCCGTAAAATTTTCCATCTTAACATGATAAAAGTTAGAACACTAAGTTCAACCATGTAAATTTGTCATTCAGGCTACTTAGCTTGTCCTCTGCCACTTTTCTTTTTTGAACTTGTAGAAGAGAAAGCGAATATGGCCATAACTGCTCACTTTGACCCATGCTGGATTCTTTGATGAATAATCTGGACGGAGTGCTAGCCTCAAAAACTTTTGGTCTCTGGAAACTTGAACTAACACGCATGTCCTTGAAAACTCTCAACTCTTGGGATTATGTGCTTTATTTCTAGAGGATATATTTGTGCACAATATGTTCTGTTTAGAAGAGTTTGCCGACTGAAGAATCTTGTGGTGATTTCTGCTCATATGTTCAACAGTTGTGTGTGTATTTATTGGAATTGATCAATAGCTATGCTGATCTAAAGTTTCCATTTATTTATTTATTTGTATTGCCTCCAAAATTTTGATTTGGTGTTCGTTTTCTTTAGGAAGACAATTTCATTATTGTAATGTTTAAGCAGATAAAGAAGCAGCTGACAAAAGGAAATTGGTAAGCAAATGGCATCCCACAACTAAGGGTACACTCAGAAGGAACTATAGGGTGCCTTCCAAATCCGAAGGGCGGCGGCGCCTCAAAGCAATTGCAGCTTTGCTATCCGAAGATGATTACTTTGTAGATGCAACTTCTCACAAGGTAATTCAACCTATGAAACAATCTCTAGAGTTCCAATTCCTTCCTCTTCTAAGCATAATCAGTAACTCAACAATATGAAACCACGTGTGATGTGATATGTTCTTAAAATTTCTCTAAACACTGTTCCTAGGGCTGTCAAATTAGGAGGGAGAGTGCTCATGGTGAGAGTGTGTGCTGCAACAATGTTAGGGCTCTCTTTGATGAGCTCCCAACCCCACATTTGCTTGTGGAAATTACAGCTTTTCCTGCTGGGCCTCTTACAGAGAAGGATTACGTCAAGGCCGAGAAATTAGAGAGGGTTCTCAGATCTGGTCCTTCCATTTGAAGTGTTTTTAAAATATTCTGCTCACCTTTTGTATGTATCCAAACTCTGACTTGTAAATAAGAGAATCATGAAAGAAAAATCTCTTCTTTTGGTTAACAAAACTTAGATTATTTTTGGAGGGGGGTAGTATTTACCTAATCAGATTCGGCTGCGTATTTTGCTTCCTCAAGAAGTTGCTCGAGGCTTGAAGCATAGCCAGTGTGAAACTCGCTATGAATTGCATGCTTAATTTCTAGACTTTCAGCTGCTTCATCTGGAAGAACCCAGAAAAAATTATTTTTTTCATTTCCCTCTTAAAGCTTCAGCTAAAATCATTCTGTGAAAGGATTAGGGCTGCAATTTGATATTTAGGCATGGCAATTACTATTGCTATATGCCCCAGAATTATGGAACACCTCAAGGATGATAGAGGGTTAATGCTATGAGATGTTAAGATTTTATTAACATGTGCGTGGACACGCTAACCCGGCACCTGTTTATCCCAGTAATTGGATACGTCAAGCAACAAATTTTCCTCTGGATTTCCATGAATGTTCAACCTTGCAGATATGGTATATCTTCAGACTGAAACAATCTTATATTTTGGAACAGCAAACACAACACGGACGCGTTGAGGAGGGTCTCAATAAACACCAAATCATTAGTTGAAGGCTAGTAATTCTTCTCTAATTAAACACAACATATGCAAATGATGTGTTCACCAGATAAACATGACAGCATTCAAAAGCTACATAAGCACAGGCCACCAACTGTCACATTTTCATATTTCAAAATAGGGGAATAGAATACAATCAGTAATCTTAGGTAAAATTCTGTAACATCTTATGATTCTCATATCTGACGATAAATTTTGAAGAGAAGCAAGTCACAGTAATTTCTAAGAAACCATTACAATTGTGTGTTAATCCAGCTCCTACAAACTGATTCATTGCAAGGAGAAAATCTTATTTTACTCCAACCGAGGCCATCAAATCTTCATACTCGGGATCGTTCTCTGGCTTTCTACCCTTTCCTAGATTACCTACTTGCTGTTGAGATGCAGCGGAAACAGAAGTGGGAGAAAATGGATCATAAACCTGCTGCCCTCCCTGGAATGAAGGTGGTCTAGCAGATGCCGAGGAGATGAAAGGCTGCTGATTCAGAGCAATTGATTGTCCTCGAGGAGCTATTGGAGCTGGATAATTTTGCTGAAGTTGCAAGGGGTTTCCTGGTCTGGGAGGTAAAGGACCTGTTAAATTGGGTAGGTGGGGAGTTGAACTAAAGTTCCGGGATCCCATCTGCATGACCGGTAGTCCCACTGGACTTGCATTTGAAAATGCTGGAAGTCTGGGGTGATGTGAGTGACCGGTAGGATTTCCAACGAAGGGAACTTGACCCAATTGGTTGCCAACCTGTGGTCTAGGAAACAGATGCCTGCCAGGTTGAGTGGTTGAGTTAGGGACATCCATGTGGAAAGGTGGTGCTTGAGGTGTTATTGTTTGCATCATGGGTCTATGAAGGGGGCCATTCTGAGTAGCGTGATGACCGCTAAATCTGGGAACAATTTGAGGAGCTGGATTCTGCTGGTGATGAGGTCGGAAAGTAAAATCACCCGTACCTGAATGCTGCACCTTTGCATTTGTTATTGTGGGTGATCTTATGGGAGCAAAATTTGAGGTAGTTACAGGAAAAGCTCCGACAACTCCTGTCTGCAGAGTTGCCTGTGATGCAGGCATCATAGGTGATGAAATTGGTGCAGAACCAAATACCG